TATACTTGACTGCTTGCTGCCTCTATATCTCCAACTTAGACGCATACATGCGCTCTTGCTTCAATAACTTGACGGGTGTGTCCGTATTCACAACCGTGTCTTCACTCGAGCGGTCCCTGCAGTCCCACGGATAAGAGCCCAGTAGCATAACATCGCAATGCCGGATCGGCGTCCGGGGCAAACCCACACACGCGGTCCAGCATCTCGTCGTCAACGTCCAACATGCGCACAATTGCTCGGCTATTCACTGGCACAGTGGCCAGTAGCAGTCGACATGTCGCTGCTTTCACGCGGCTTCCACTTAGATCCGACAATTTCTCTTCAAGCTGTCAACGACACAAGCGCGTGAGTCCCTCGTCTTCTCGAAACGGCAGCCTTCACTTTTGTATCTCACCATTGGATAAAAATCTTCGTTTTGCGCAAGCTCCTGCAATAGGTTGCCAATCAAGTGGCCTGCCATGCAAAACAAACAGCCGTACATGATCCACATAGAGTCGTACGAAAAATGAGACACGTGACTGTCCGTCCATATACATCGAATGTCGATGCGACTTTTGCGCATGCATCGACACAGTGTGCGTACGCCGTACCGTCGCGACGATGGCGACGACCGCTCCTTGCGAAAAGTCGCTTCCACCTCCTCGAGCGTCTCAGCAATCCTGTTGCAGTTTACATATTGCGTCGTCAACAAGTGTATCTCCTTACAAGCTATTATATCGCCATGTAGCAGTGTACACGCACACGTTGAGCTTCGTGATAATCTCGTCGTCCGAGAGCGCAGGCGCGGACGGGTCCGTCTGCGTGAGTTCCTGCGACAAGTTGAACACGCGCTCCTCCATCGATTGCGGCATCAAATCCTCAGCGCTCGCTGCCACTGACTCGGGCGGCGAATGCGGCGGCGGCGGCGGCGGCAGTGACGACTCCATCTGCTGCAGATAAACTGTCGGAATGCACGTAGAAGTGGAGAAGGTTTATTGCGATCAGTGATTGGCTGATATTCGACGCGGTACCTGCCACGACCGATGATGAGCAACAACGACCTGCCGAGCAAAACGAATAAGCTTAGCGTTACTTCAGCTGACGAAGTCAACACAGGAACCAGCGCTCGCATTGTGTGCAACGCGAGCGCTTGATCCGAAACGCTTTGTGGGAAAACAACCGGTACATCCGACCGTTTCGTACCGGTACGCGTCGCTTCTGCTCCAACGGCACACGACCTCCGCCTTGTCGTGATCACGTCACCGCTGTGAGTCATACGAAAAGCAAGATACACCCCTCCGCCTCGCCACGTCCCGCCATGTCGTTCTCCTTCCACTTTGCTCTGGACAATAGCGTCTGTGCGACGTCTATAGCCCCGTCGCCAGCCGCGACGTCCTCGACGCCGGTTGGACCACAGCGCGAGTGCGAGCGGATCGTCTACAGCCCTCGCGCCCCTCCCCCCGTCTTTTCTGTTGTCCAAGTCGAAGACCTGACGTTCGAGACCGTTCAGACGACGAATGCAGCCTTTATGGCGCGTACAGGCGCTATTCGCTCGTGTTTGACGACGTCAGACGTCCAGACAGGTGTCTACGAGGGCGGGTTCAAGCTCTGGGAGGGCGCGTTGGATCTCGTGAAGCTCCTGGCGACGCAGCAGCGACAAAGGCGCGTCGATGCCGGCGTCCGTCCTGGAGCTGGGCTGTGGCCACGGCTTGCCGGGGATCTACGCTCTGCAACAGGGTGCAGGGCTCGTGACGTTTAGTGACTACAACAAAGAGGTGCTGGAGCTCACGACCTGCCCTAACGTGCGGCGTAACGTGGGTGAGCAGATGTTCTCGAGGGCCGAGTTTTACGCTGGAGCATGGCGCGGCATGTCCCGGTACATGGAAACTGTAGAGCTCAAGACGCCCGACCAGACGCAGTTTGATCTGATCTTGACAGCAGAGACTATTTACACGGAGGCAGTGGCGGTGGAGCTGTATCAGGTGAGGCGGTCACAAGGGAATGTTGCTTGGCTGGTTAAGTTCTGTATAGACTGACGGCTGCTCTTTTGTCTGGTACTAGACGATCAAGCGACATTTGCGTCGAACACCGAACGCCCGTGCGCTCATTGCTGCGAAGAAGTATTACTTTGGGACAAACGGCAGCGTGCAGCACTTTGTCGGACTCGTACAGGCAGACGGTCTTTTCACGGCCGAGACGGTATGGCAAGAGCACGACGGCCGTTCGAATATGCGCGAGATCGTGCAGCTTACGTGCGTGGATACGTGCTGAGGCGTCGCAAGTTGGCGTATGGCTACAGCATGGACGTCGATTAAAGCGGTCCACTGAATCGAAAGACTGCTACTGCTTTCGCCATCCTCTTTTGAGCCAACTGGACGCTGACAATCACCTCAACAAGAAGCATTTTGTATTTGCACCATTAATTCATCGAGAGTTGCATTGCTATGTTTCAGTTGTACACCGCAGTCTATAGCAGCATCAGTAGCAAAACAAGCACCTGCTTTCGATTGCTCATTTTGCGTTTCTGTTGTTTCCAGCAATCCGTAGAAAGCGCTTTATCAAGCGTGTGTGCGATTCGCGAAATCGAGTCAAGTAGCACGGAAGCGTGCAGTTGCAAACAAACATTTCGAAAGAACTAAAACGTGTGACAGCGTTGAGCGTTTGCTCGTAAATTACACTTACAAGATTGACAAATGTGTAAAAAGCACAACACAGCTTTAACCTCTGTTGTATGTGACTGCCACCATAGCCTGCTTACAGACACACTCTCACTACGGCGTATCCAGCATAGTCTCCCACTTAGTTATCTTTTTCAAATATCTTTCGCGGTCCCTAGTCGGCTGGATCGTCCTGATGGAGCTCGTTACGTCCTTTAAGCACTTGCGCAGAAGTTGTTCCGTATAAGAATTCCACTCCCTTACCTTGTATGAGACTACATCGTTGATCAAACGAATCACTCCATCAAGCTGGCTCATGGAGAAATATCCGCCCTGCCAACTTTTGACTCGACTCATTGCGGATAGTAGTCGTCCTTGCATTTTTTCCATCGTTCCTGAGATCCTCGGTTGCGCGCGAGCGTTCGTTGTCAATTTCGATGATTCAGTTTTCTCATTCAGTAGCGCGAGTATGTCTGTACCAAGTCTGTGAACAAGAACAATGTAGAGATAGTTAGCCTTTACCCTCGTTCAACACCGTTGGCCCTAGAATAGCGCATACCTTTGACATTCCGCTTGTGTCTGCTCTCCCGACAACTTCATACTATAAGCAGTGATGCTGTTTGCAAAGTTGACATACTCCCTGGCCAGGTCAGTCTGAAACGGAACGTCGGTGATCCAGCGACGCACACAGCCGGCAGATTGCTGCACGTCGACTTGGCGCGCACCTGTATCGTCACCTGCCATCACTTTTTTGGATTGCAATCAGAGCTTCAATGACTTGCTTGGCCTTTGCTTGCGGTGACCGCGCGCGCACACTATTGACAAGCTTGTAATAATCTTTCAGCCAACGTTCCGGTGGGATATGCGCAATTGTAGACTCTGTATCGTAAGGCGCTTGTGTCAGGTAAGCTGGGATACTCGAAATCACACTCTCTAGTTGAGCCCGAGCTCTAATCAACGACACGAACACACAACGTTAGCACTCTCTTAGCATACAGGACACAACTCGAAGGTACGCCGTACCGGTGAAAAACGACCGTGAGCATCTTATTCTTTATACACGCATCAGTCAGCACCGCAAGTGCAGATCGTGCCTCCGTTGCGCCTTCGGTGGTCCACTCCAGCTTCTTGTATACTTCGGCTGCGGCCTCTAGAGCGCGAGCAGCCTCAGCGGCCGCTTCTTTATCTGTATCGTGAGTATCTCGGATAGACTGATGTTCGAGTACACGCTTGGTGTAGGACAGGGCGAGTGCCCATTTACTCTCCGATTTCATGTGCATTCTCTTGTTGACCGTCTTCACCTTCAATATTGCATTGAGGGCATCATGGGCAAGAGAGAAATCTTTGCTTTGCTTCTTTGCATCTGCCGACCTTTTTGCCTCGGCTCCATTCTGGATTTTGTCGTTCTCGTGAGAGTCCGCGCGCTTCTTCTTTTTCTTGCGTGTTGTCTCTTCGTCTTCTGGTGCGGATACTTCTTCCTTGATTTCTGTCTTTCCATTAGCATCAATCTTATCGACCGCCTTCCGCTTCCGTGTATCTCGACTCTCGTCTCGGTTTGATCCCTCTTCCTCGTCTTCGTCTTCTTTCGATGACAACACTTCCATCACTTTCATCCCAGCTGCTACTTTCTCCAATCGAATCCCTAACTCCTTTTGCAGGCGTATGGTCCTGTCCATTGTATCCATGAGACTCGCGTCGTAACCCGTGGACGGTTTGCCTTGATTCAGTTGGTTCACCGCGTCGCGCACTTCGCCCACCTTGATGAATGTCGCCATGACGGTATCCACTGAACATTGCAAAGCTGAGAGCTCGTCACAGAGAACGCAATTTGAGCCGCGGTGGAGTTCTTGGGGCGTCAGTAGTGACAAGATGCGTCTGTACAGTGCTATGGTGTCGGACATTGTAATGCCTGCCAAGTGATGGACAGTGTGGAGCCATTCAATTTACCCGTTCGGAACAGACGTTTTTGTATCGGCATTTTTCTTGTAGACAGCAAGCGCTTTTTGTACATTTTTATCTGCAATTTCTGGCTGCACAAAGCACCAAACTTTGACCCTTCTTTCTGCCAACGATAAGCTTGGCGGGTCCTCCTACAAGCCGTCCTACAGCCGACCTCTACCGCGAAGCAAAATGGTAAACCGTGCATTAAATGCTTGGCAGAAAGTCGACCGGTTCCTTGTCCGTCGCGTGCTTTGCTCTTAGGACTTACGGAAGTGGCAGATGTTAGTCTCGCTTGTAAGCAGCAGTGGATGCTAAGCCATTTTGGCATCGAGATGGGTTGAGATCGATCCAGCGCCAACAGGCGAGTCGACGATTTGTGCGTCACTCGGTCATTGAATGAGTTCAGCTCGTCAAATGCTTTTTGTGTTACGGAAGTTCTAGCGCGCGATATGCAGTGAGCCTCGTCGCCTGATGTCTGCGGAGATACGACCGACCGTCATCTGCGCCATTCAAAAGCCATTTGCAGCTTCATGGGTGCTAAAGACACGACATTCGATGAAGGCAAAGCTTTCGAAGCGATTGTTGTGAACATGGCAAACATGATGTGAGTAGTACGGCTGTTCGCGCCGCAGTAGTCATTCCTCTTTATGCGTAGTCTTGCCTGACCTACGGAGAAGCACATTGCATCTGATCAGCCAGAGCAGACATTACAAATGTAATCTGTCGTCACGAAATGGCCACTATTGCCTGTAAAAAGATGAACATGTGCATACGATACATTTGGGATTGCAAGTGCACATTCAGGGATCTCTTGCCAGCACAAGACAACTTGCATATATTCGCGTTCGTCAACTGGACCGCGTGAAAACGACATGAATGCACAGCATTTCGCAGCAGCATTATTCGCTGGTTATCACCTTGTTCGAAGCAATATGTGTCAAGTGCTCACTTCGTTCTCGGACAACGAATCGTCGTTTCGATTGATCCAGGAAGTGCTGTCGAGAATGCGTAGTCGTGTGCTATGACTACTGTGACGGCAGGTTCAGCCTCCGAACGCGATATCAATCACACCAATAGCTCTTGCCGTCAGCATTCTTTCTATCGTGAAGAGTATACCTAAGACACGGTGGTAGTGGGAGGACACTGCGCGCAGTAGCCAGATCTAAACATCCATGTCAGCAAGCTTCTCTTGCGTCACACGAAGTGCAGATCTACAGGAGCCTGAACGGGAAGCTGCTTCGCACGAAGACGATTCGCTGCTATATAAGCTACTATGCCGATTTTGGCAGATATCCACTCTTGAATCATGAAACGCCCACTTCGCTCTCAAAGTTACTTATAGCAGCACTCACATACGCATGTGATATGTATTTGCCTCACTGACAGCACACAAATTACGGAGTGCGAATGTTATCCAAACTTTAATGCTTGCATGGCGTCATATCGACGTGATGCACAGATTGTTGAGCCAATCTGGTCTAGTCAATTTAGCAAGAAACATGCAAAAGATACCATTTTGTGCGAACGGCTTGTTTAGTCGGGCTCGAATGAATGAGATCCGGGTCCTGCACTCGTGTGTTGTAATCGTGTGAAGCCCGCCTTCGAGTCGTGTGATCATGAAGCTCGGATGAGTAGGGCGCTACTGAGGATGATGATGCGCTGTGAAGCAAACCAAAGTAGCAATACGAAGGTGCGAAACGCTTGCAGCATCGGATAGGGATAGGCCGATGTCCGAGGTAAGCGCATCACAAACTTCCAAGACATACTGCTACCACCGTTCAGGTGTATGCTATTGACTTAGAGGATCATCTGCAGGCAGAATAAGGGAAAGTTTACGGTCGCTCATGAGTGTCACAAGCCTCTAACAAATTGCCTTGTGGGCAGTGAGCGCTCTTCACGAATGAGAAGGTTTGTCTGTCAGAGACTACCACTTTTGGGAAGCCGAGAAAGGTTAATGGCATCAAAACAATATGCTGCAGAGACCTGCACGGATACCGCAGTTGACAAAATTGCAATCCAAAAGTGAATCATACATGCGTTATCGAGCGTGAGTGCATGTTGCCTAAAGATTGCTATTGTTTCGAGTCGAGCTGGCATGCAGCCGAATAATGTTGAGTTTGTTGCTACTCGTCACTGTTCTCCTACTACTGCGAAGGTCAAGATATCTTTGGTTGGAAACGTTGTGTGACTTCGAATACACAGAAATGATCGTCTACACGATGAAGACCCAGTCATTATCTCACTTGATCGTGCATGGGAGAGAAGCTTGTCTTTGTCGCTACTCGTATCAAGGACTGGATTTCAAATAGAGCTCGCGCTACAATCTCTTGTTTTCTTTCGGCGCTAATGAAACATTGCGTATCCTACTGCAGGCTTTGGCAAAATCGAGCTACAGAAGCAATATCGACCTCAATTCGCATCGCAGTTTGCTCCGTTGACAAGCAAAATGGAATAGAACGACTCAACAACGTACGACGCAGCAAAAATCCGCAGGCCAAAAGGCCCGAAGCACTTTTTGTGTTCTTGATGTTATGGGTGAATTAGTGGCGCTCTGTTATTCTGCACTATGCACAGATCTTTGTGGTTACCGAAGATTCCACGTAGTAGTTGACATTCTCGACATCGAGATTTGACTCGTTCGATAAAGGGTGGAAACCCATTTGGCGTTGCATATCGTGTACTTCGAGTGTGCCATCGACATGGAAGGGATAAGTTTGCTCGACCGTATGTCGTGAATTGTCCTTCTATTTTGCAACAGACTAGATTACATACGCCTATACTGTTTGCGTAGATCAAGAAATATGGAACTTTTTGTTGCTCGAACTGGTCGTGTCGAGATACATACAACCTTGTTTACGAGCAGTTGTAGTAGTAGTTCATGTATATCGAGAAGCGTTAGTGACCAACAATACGCTGTCACAACGACGAGTATAAATAGCGTCATCTGCTCAATTGACGTGCCAGACTAGGATAACTCGAACGTCATCCGATCTTGAGTCCGCGAACTCGTGTATTACCATGTTCCGGTAAAAAAGACGAGAAGAACGCTTACTGGGAGCTAGACCCGTTGATACGTTTATCAGCACATCACCAGCCGACATCAGTCTGCAAAAATGAGAAAGATACGTCGGACAGTGTCATGCCAAAGAGCATCAGGTTTACAGCTTGTGATAAGTTGGCGCGATCCTAAGTTGCGGGACAGGCTACTCTAGATACGCGTTTTCAGCGACACTGAGTGTCATAGAATAGCCTGAGCAATGTTGAGCATTTCTGGCATAGTTCGAGCATCATTGCATTACAATCGCACGCTCCTTTCATCGAACTTGGCACGCCAAACTTCCTGCATGCAATATCAAACGGAAACGATTGACCGCCCGAGGCGCAGTCCGACCGATCCGACATTCCAGTCGAAGCGTGGCTACCTTTCATCGAACGGCATTGTAGTAAAAACTTGTGGAATGGCTGCACGATTTTCCTTGCCGATGTATTGTCGCCGAATTGGTTGTTGATGCGCTGGTGTCTTTTCACACGTTGGTAGCATTGGCTCATCCGACACCACGCTATCCAAAATGAGCAGAAAGGATGGACGTTCCGGCACCTAGTGAGGGGGCTTGTCGGCACAGTCGAGCGCATTTGGAGATCGAGGGTCTTTTGTTATGCCAAACAGCTCGAATAGTGTCGCCACGTATCGTGAGGTGTCGTGCGAGCGTCCATTGTACCTGTATGCCTTACTTTATGTGCCGAACGCAGCGGACGAAAAGCGTGACAATGACTCATCAAAACGCAGCGTAAGATACGATTTCGTAGCAAACCTCATATCGTTCGGTTAAGCTTGAGTGAATCGCGCCTGCATTCGAGAAACGTTCTTCGACATCATTCTCCCGTCTCTTGCTATCCCGCAATTCGGCTTGCATCTTGCATCATGTCTGGTGTCTATTGAGGGCGAATCAATGGGCCGCAACACTCAAGTCGATTTATACTACACCCTGGCGGAACATGGCAGAGGCCACGCTCATGAAAGCCGTGATGTTAGCGCCCATGTGGAGATCACCTGCAGCATTAAACTCCTCCGCGGAAGCTGCTACGCGGTCATGCAGCTCGTACATGTAATCTACGCCACCGTGAGAGTCATCACACACCTGGTTAGAGAATTGCTTTACACAAACAAAACCTAATCATACATCGCACCTTTGACGATCTTGTCCACCTCCTCGTCGGATAGCTGCGTCGACGCCCCGAGGTTATTCGTGATTAATGCGAAGGAGCCGCCATTTAGAGCCTTGTTCGGGCCGAAAGCCAGATCGTGCTGCTTGATGAGCCGAACGGCTTCGTCTGTGCAAGGGAAATTGGCTCCTTCAAAAATGCCCTTGCAGCCGTTCTTCACAAGTAGACGCACATCATCAGCACCCACGTCGTTCTGAATAGCGCACGGGAAGGCGTAGTCACAAGGTGTTTCCCACAGACGACCTTCCTCAGTCGGGTGGTAGTTGGCCGTGGTGGACGACATGATATAAGCACCGAGACGCGCATTACGCTTTTCCTTGATGCGCATGAGCTCTTCCAGACTTTTCTTTGTAAATCCCTGCTCCTCGATCACGTAGCTGAAATTGTCGCTCATTCCGATTGGGATGGCACCGAGATCCAAGAGTTTCTGCGCAACACTGAGCGCCACTGTGCCACTGCCCGAGATGAGACAGCGCTTTCCCTTCATGGACTCTCCACGGGACTCGAGAATACGATTGGCAAAGTGGGCCACACCGTAGCCAGTAGCCTGTGGATAATGGTAAGCACCACCACTCAAAATCCCTTCCGTGCCTCCCGGATGCAGTTGACGCAGTCGCTTGTACTGTCCGAACATGTATCCAATCTCCTGTGGTCCAACGCCTACGCCCGACGTCGGTACATCCGTGTGCGGACCAATGTAATTAGCCAATTCTGTCATGTACGACTGGCAGAAGCGCATGATCTCCGACTCGCTTTTGTCCATCGGATTAAAATCCGAGCCACCGTGTGCACCGCCATAGGGACCAGCCAGTGCATTGCGGAAAATAGTTTCAAAGCCCAAGAACTTGGCGATGCCGTGTGTTGTCTCTGGGTGGAAACGCAGGCCACCCATATAGGGACCCAAAGCACTAGAGAACTGAACACGGAAGCCGCGATTGACACGGCTGCTGCCCTCGTCATCGATCCACGGGACTCGAAACTGGATCACACGCTCTGGCTCCATCAGCGTCTTCATGACCCACGCGTACTTGGGGTACCGGTCGAAAACGGGCACCACCGAGTCGACAAAGTTTTGCACGGCTTGTACGTACTCCTCCTGTCGGAAGCGATCGAGAACGGGCACCCGATCAGTCGAGAGAGGAGCCATATAGACCTACTTCTTAGCTGTGGCGAGGGAGGAGGGTGCGTACCTGGTTCGGATCGCGACGAATCACTTCGTCCGTCAACATGTCCGCAGCCTCCTGACCATTGCGGAACCGCTTGTCGCCCCCGCGACGGAACAGCGGCTTGTTTTTCCAGTGCTTCTTGCCGTGCGTCGTGCCGTGGACGTCCGACATGAGCGACGAGCTCAGGCGCACAAACGCGGCCGGAGCGCGGGGCTGGATGCGACGGGCGAGCGATGCCAACATGAGAGGAGGGGGACTCTGCGTGCTCGATCCAAAATACTGAACTGACTGACTGAAGCGGGCGTTGAAACAGCCACTCGTCGAGATATGGGGCAGCTGGAAACGTGCGGTATTGGCGAGGGAGGATGGTGCGGTACATACCGGTGTGGTGGCGGTGGGCTGTTTCCGATACCGATACGACGGGGAAATGCGTCAAAGCGTACTGCAGATGCTTTTTGCACGCAGTGTCGAACATTTCGATGCAGCAGATATGCCTGAGATGGTATGTGATATTGCGCGGATATTTTACCGACTCGTTGAATTGAGGCATTGTTTTCATGGTTTTTTACGATGGTCATGTCGGCGTGTTGACTACTTTTCTCCGAAACTCGAACGATAGATGTCGTAACCGCTTTTTGGCGTCATTTTGCGGTGTATGCATACCGGGGACCGAATCGTTGTGCAACGGGGTAGCCCGTTACATGATATTGTCACTAAGGATAAAATGACAATAAAGAATATTACGTTGAATATTCTATCAACAATATCACAGAGCATGATGATATTGTTGAAGATGACCGAAGGGTCTACTCATTGGTTGATATCGTGATGATATCAACCCACCAATCGCTGCTAGACGCACGCAATGGGTGGTGAGTAGACGTCATCATACGAATAGTTACATTATTATAATTAAGTCAGGACAACAGAGACTCAAGGAGTTATAGGACTTAATTATATTAATACAGTTTTACTTTTACCAAGAGACTAGTCTGACTACTTAGTCTCCTTTCCTTCCTCTGTGTTTTCCTTAAAACACCTAGCAGGGCACTGTCGAACACTGTCGTCAGTGGAAGTATACTCCGTACTCTTGACCAGTACGTAGTCAACAGTGCCCTGTTACACCTGGTAGCACTTTGTAGTCTGTCCAAGGACCACCACTCGCATCGCCCAACATGAACATGTTGGACGAAGTCAAAGGCGACAGATTTCACAAAAACCGTGAAAGCTACTCCTATTTGAGCGACATCGAATGGAGTGCGATCGAACAAATGAGTTCGACCGTTGGCGAGGAAGCCATATGGGCCATGCTACCCACAAGGGTTAGGGACCAGCAACATGTCGTCATTAGCAAGTTCTTGCAACGAGAACTTGATGAGTCGCGAGCGCAGTTGACCTTGTTACAACAACAAGATCACCAGAGGAACAAAGCACTGAGACATGAACAGTCTCAGTCCGCAGAGCCGACGCGTGAGCGTCGACGGGAGTCTCTAAAACTAGAGGTCTCCAAGTATCGGGGAGTCGAGGAAGACTCCCTGTTGAGGTGGTCCGTCGAGCTGGACGATGTCATCGATGCTCGTCGCATCGATGATGATCGAATGCAAGTCTCATTCGCTCAGTCTAACCTGGCAGGAGAAGCCAGAGCTTGGGCCCTGAATCTCAAGTTGCACGACCCACATGTGTTTGGGTCGTTGAGGATCTTCAAGACCCTGCTCAGTGAGACGTTTGAACCGCCCAGAGCAGAGTTCAGGACTCTTTCGAAGCTCCTGCAAATCAAACAGGGTAAGCGTAAGGTTCGCGCTTACGCTCAACGTGTACGCTACCTTACAAGCTGCATGGTAGTGAACCCTGTGAGCGAGTTTGTGTTGATCGCAATCTTCATTCAAGGGCTTTCAGACGGTCCCGTTAGGGACCACCTGTTCCGCGGAGAGCTAAAGACGCTCTCCGAAGCAATCTTTGCAGCGGATTAAGAAGATTATAGCGTGAGACTGTCTCACGCTACGTTGACCCCGCATCGTCCACAGAGATGATTAGCAGTCGGATGTCCAGAACCAATGGACCTCTGTAATCTCGAGGGCGAGAAACCTCGCCCTGCGAATGACAAGCGAATGGTGAGATGCCATCGCTGTCATAAACTGGGACACTACGCATAGGAATGCAGTATCCCCCGCTCAGAACCTCGCGGTGCAGAGCGCAGTGTTCACCCACCAGCAAGAAGAACTGGAGGGCGAGGGCCCGTTGCTGTTGCGAAGTCGCAACAGCAAGGCGGACCATAAAAAATGGTCGGGGTCAGTAGGGGAGGAACACCCTACTGATCCAGCAACATCATGAGAATTGCAAATCACCTGAAGAAGGTCGCTCTCGACACACAATTTCTGTGTGTCTCTGCACCTGGTGATGAGGTGTTACTCATCACCTTGAAGTTAGAAGTGACAAAAGACTTTTCACTTCGCGCCCTAGTTGACTGTGGGGCGTCGAACAACTTTGTTCGTCGCCAGTCGCTAGAGGCAGGAAGTTTTAACTTCGTGGAACGGGAGATCACTCCAACGAAGATGACGGTGCGCCTAGCGACAGGCGCATCGATCACTGTGAAGAAACGTGTAGTCGGAATCCACTACACGTTAAAAGGCGAACAGTACGATGATGATTTCATCGTGCTTGACCTCGATGAAAAGTTCGACGTCATCCTAGGACTACCTTGGCTCAGGAAATACGAGCCGAGGGTGAGTTGGAAGTATCGTTCGGTTGCGATACCTGTCACTTGTTTCGTAGATGACGACCTGAAAATGTTTTGGAACGCCCACATTTATGTGGTTGTACTACGAGTGAGTGCGATTGCCTCACTTGTGGTACGGTCGTTAGCACGACTGTACAAGAACACAATGTAGATGATCACTACATTGTGGAGAAAGCTCACCCGAATCCTGTGGAAGTGATTTCCCAGGAGGTAATCGAGACACTGAATATCTTGGTTAATGACGGATCAAGTGTAGGCGTTTATACACATGATCTCATTGTGCCTTCGAAACTAACTTCGGAGATAAATCAATTGCCAACGCTAGAACCGAAACGGTTCTTGCGTGATCTGAGTAGTGGCAAAGTCAAGCAGATCTGTGCTATCGTCGCGGAGGACGAGTACGTTACCGATATTCGATCGACAACGGTATTCACTGAGACCGAGAGGGTTCTCAGCAGTTCATCGATGGACGAAAGCGTGGTCGATGAGAAGACTCGGATTGAGAGATACGAATCTCAATCCTGGAAGTCGCTCCAGGCAAATCCTTTGTACAAGGATTAGATCGAATTTAAGGATGTGTTCCCTGAATCCGTGCCTTGCGAGTTGCCTAAGGACAAAGGCACTCGACACGAGATCGAGCTCAAACCGGGCTTGAAGTACTGTGTCATGAAGCAGTGGCCACTGCCTCGTGAACAAGTACTAGCGATCGAAAAGTTCTTTGCCGATCGCTTTGCAGCGGGCCATGTGAGGGAATCAACTTCCCTTCACAGCTCTCCGACCTTCTGTGTGCGAAAGGCCACAGGAGGGTGGCGGACAGTGCACGCATTCAACAAGTTGAATGCTGCAATGGTACCGGCTCAGACGCCAATACCGAGGAAGGACGTAATCATGGATGGTATGTCAAAGAGTACCATCTTTTCGTCCATGGATCTTGTAACGGGGTAGCCCGTTACATGAAATTGTCACTTTAAGGAACGTGACAATAAAGAATATAAAGATGGATATTCTTTAAAACAATATCACCAAAGTGGTGATATTGAAGGGTCGACCAAAGGGTCTGTTCATTGGTTGATATCGTGATGATATCAACCCACCAATCGCCGCAAGACGCGCGCAATGAGTGGTGACGAGACGTCACCATACATGCAGTTATATTAGTATAATTGAATTAAGTCAAACGAAGAGACAGTAGTTTAAAGACTTAATTTATTAATATAACAGTTCTACTTTTACCCTACCTACGCTTCCTCGCTTGCCACGTGTACGTCTGTCGGGGCACTCAAAACCCTTGCGTTAAGATAAGCAAGGGTGTGCCCCGTTACACCTGGTAGCACTTTGTAGTCCTTCCAAGGACCACATCATCCAACATGAACATGTTGGATGAAGAAGACACCTTTCACGCCACGCGTGAAGGGTTTACCCATTTGAGTGACATCGAATGGGGTGCGGTAGAACAAATGAGTTCTACCGTAGGCGAACTCGTCGTCAGCACCATGTTGGAGTCTCTAGACAGAGACCAACAACATGCCGCTATCGCCAAGTTCATTCAGAATGAACTTGCTCTTGAGAGGGAGAAAGTAGCCTTGCTTCACCAGCAAGGCTCTCAACAGGCCGAGCAGTTGAGAGAACTCGGTGCTCAACAGACGGAGCTGTTGAGACAGCAGCAATTCCATGCTGCTGTGGGCGGGACGGCGCATGCGCGCCGTCCCGAAGTCATGAAAGTCGACATCTCCAAGTACAGTGGAGTCCCGGAGGACTCCCTGTTACTATGGTTTGTCGAACTCGACAGAGCCCTAAGGGCTCGTCGCGTCGAAGATGAGCAAATGAAACTCACATTTGCTCAGACCCACTTGGCAGGGCGTGCCAAAACTTGGTCCCTGGGACTCGAGAGTAGCGACCCAAATGTGTTTAGGTCGCTAGATGACTTCAAGTCCCGGCTCAGACAAACGTTTGAGCCGCCACGTGCTGAGTTCAGGGCTCGCTCAGAGCTCCTGAAACTCAAGCAGGGTAAGCGTGATGTGCACGCTTACGCACAACATATACGACTCCTTGCGAGTAGTATAACTGCCAACCCAGTACATGAACACACGTTGATTACGGTGTTCATGCAAAGGCTCGCAGAAGGGCCCGTCAGGAGCCACCTGTTCCGCCTTGAGCTGAATACGCTTGAAGAAGCGATATCAGCCGCGGAACAGGAAGACTTTAGCATGAGACAGGCTCATGCTAGCTCAAACTCTTATCGTCCACCGAGACGACAAGAGATCGGAGATCCAGAACCAATGGACCTCTGTTATGTTGAGAGCGAGAGACCTCGCTCTTCAAACAACAAGCGAATGCAGAAATGCAATCGATGTCAGAAGTTAGGGCACTTCGCACATGAGTGTAGTGCTCCACGCCCAGTACCAAACAGTATTGAGCGAAATGGACGACCTTTTGCCATAAAGGGCAATGGGCGTGGGTCCAGCGCTGTTGCGAAGCCGCAACAGCGAGACGGACCATCAAAAAA